CACTTATACTGTGTTAACAGATAATCCCATGGTATATTTAATTAATTTAATCTATAATTTTAGTCATAATAGATTATTATTATTACCAATAATATTATATATACCCAGTCACACAACAGGGTTTTATTCGTATATATAAACATTAAATAATACAATATAAAATATTATTAACCAAGTTGTACATTGAAAAATGCAATTTCATCATTGATTATAAAATATTATATTAATTAATAATCATATATAAATGTATACCAAATTGATAGCTTATTTATAAATAATAATAAATAAAACAAAAAATAAATTTAATTTGACTGTTTACATAAAAAATGTATTTTGACGTATTTTAGTTGAATTTATAAATGAGTTAGCTATTTGCTCAATATCTATATCTTCATTATGATGGACATGCAATAAAGCAATATCGTTAAGACGATTTTGTGTCATTGTAGACCTTAAAAATGTTTTTAATCTTTGTGTTGCTGAAAAAGATCTTTCCGCAGTAAAAGACGATCTGGAACAGTCATAATAGTTTTAAAAAAATTATTAAACTCTGTTAACATAGCTCCAATCGAATTATCCGATTAAAATATATCTATGGTATATTGTGTATTGTTTATACTCATTTTTTTTGATTTTTTAATACCTATCTAAAAACATATCTCTATGAAACTTGAATTTTTCTTGATTGAAATCAACCCCATAAAAGGAACTAACATATGTTACCAATTTTTCTTTACCAATTATAAATTTTTCAAGTTCGCATAAATGATTAATTACATTTTTTTGAAATCGGTTATTTAATGATGATTATGTAAAATGTAATTTTGTATTTTTTCTAACTGATGAAAATGTATGTCCTTCATCTTCAAATAATTTCTTAGGAGGTTTTTTATTCTCAGTTCATTTAGCTTTTTCAGTTTTAACTCACTAGATTTTGCTGAAACTTGTTCCCATAAGTCATCAAATCCAGTATCTCTTAGTTGTTGAATAGATATGATAATATTTTCAATTTTAATTATGCTTAAATACACGTTATAAATATCCAATATTCTAATGGATGCCCCCCCCCATAATAATTTCAACGGGTGCCTTAGGCCCTTAGCCGCCGGGCACCTACGCACATCACGCCTATGAATAATAGTATAATCTGAAGGTCGTTTTCAATACCGCTAATTCCAGCATAATAAAGTTTTTTAAGTAATAGTTCATGATTAATATTATTAAATTCTTTACTGACATAATACCGACAGAATACATGGAATATAATTGTTATATTAATTTTTCAAATTTTACTATTCGAAAATGTATTGATCGCATTCTTGATTGAGATATAATTTACTTATCTTAATTCTACTTTTGAATCATTGATACCTATAATTGATAATTATCACTCTCCCTTAGATTTAGGCTTAAAATTCTCTAATTTTATTAAAAGCAATAACTATGAAACTCCTTTTATTTTTAATTTAAAAAATTTTAATTTTATGAATAATTTACGTTTCCTTTCTAATATTGATTTCGAGTTTAATCTAAATAATAATTTATCTTTCGAAAATTAAATTACTAAATTTTATCAAATTAATTATGATGCATTTTCGTAATTTGTTTCAAAAATGAAAATGTATAATAATTATTCTCTAGTATATGCTAATGCGGAGCTCAGAAAAATCATAATTGAAAATAAATGTGTATAAAATAAACGTAAACTTTGTGCTTCGCATCTTATATTATTTATATGCATCTTATATTGTCTAAACTATAAAATAATATAATCAAATTATATCCTTGTACCTTATTCAACACGTTGCTAATATCGAATATAGGATCTTTACAAATATTAAACCATTTTGGAACCATATAAATTCTATGAAAAAAACCAATAGTTTCTTACCTGTTCAAGTAAAATATAACAATCGCTCATAATCTAAGAAGAAAGAATTGAGCCCAAGTATAAAATATATAAAGCGTAAAACGTATGTGTTAAACAACAATTACAATACGAAGTAATGACTATAAGGGCTATCTTTTAATCGTTTTTAACTGGATTTCCAAAACGAATTAACTCTTCTTACTTCCGAATAAGTATAATTATTTTATCTCAATTGAAGATGAGAATTTCTTTTATTAAACATAGTTTGTATTCTGAACAAATTTAAGAATAAGGCTATTTTCGTAGGTTTCTCGATGAAAATAACGAGTTGTTTTTGTTTCCTAGATCTACTACGATTGTGGTAAATACAGAGTGAAAGTGGAAATAAATTGAAACAGACATTGTATTCAAAACTGATGATGGACATTCCTTGAAAATCACACAAACGACACAAAACTTAAAAAAATGAATGGTAGACAATTGCACTTAGTTCGTCAGAATGAACTCCTGTCCTCGCATCGATGCGCACGTATATGACCAAAAGCTCCTTACGCATGCATTGCTGGTCAACGGACAAGAGCGTCAGGAGAAGGTGAGTTGTCCCTGTAATATAGGAACGTATAGACCTATGATGAACCTTGGATCGGTTCTTTGAGGGTTTGACCCTCAATATTGATTGAATAGATTAATGTTGGGTTAGGCTTCTATTAGTTGAATTGTGTTGTCTGTGTGCATGTCGAAAGAATCGTTATTTATTGGTATTTTTCCTACATGTGGTAGTGTACACTATTACAACTTATTTTTGACATAATATATAACCAAATTATGTACATCATTACATCCACCTTACACTAATTTTTGTTGTATCCTCACAACAACGCTCGTTGGCGAGAGTGAAAGTGATATAAATATTTAAAAACATTTTAAAACGGAGATCAAAAGTGGAAAACTATAGGCAGAATACAATATTTCAATTTTTACCGAGAGTTTTTTTATTTTTTAAATTTATTATATTTATTATATGTATAATTTATTATATTTTAAACTAACAAAATTGATAGTTCTCTTTTTTTTTGTGTCCACCAAATTATAAATAAATGAGACGTTCATTCATAAAAATGATTTTCTTGTATCAATGAATAACTATTATATGTAGTAACTATTTATTATATTTCATTCAAAATAATTAAAGAACTAGAATTTCATAACTTTATTCATTACTTTTAATAAAAACACAAATAACAATACAAAAACATTACATTATTTTAGAATCACTGAAATTTATCAAAATTGATATTATTTATAAATTTAAGAAACATATATGGTTCTATGTAAAAAAAGCATTTACATACAATTACGTTAACGCTTCTGTAAAATTTCAAACTCAAATTTTGATCACATATAATATAAAACTCGTATGTCTACAAAAAACAAACTATGTTAGATCAACTGGTCAAGGAACTCAACGTATTACCAATTGACCTTGTTTTCAAAAAAATGGCTATTTTGTGGGTGGTTAAACACTTAGATCAGTGGATTGATAAAAATGAAATTAGTAATAAAATAGATTTTCCATCATTCGATGCTAAAACATCACTTTTTAAAAAATCAGATGGTCAAAAATTTGTTGATTATCTTGGTCCTCTTATTTTAATTCTATGCTTTTCTCTATAAAGAAGAATTTTAATATTAATTAATTATAATAACACTAAAAAATTAACTAATGAATGGTTTCATGTATCTTTAAATTTAACTAAGGTTAACTTTATTATATTTTGTTTTTCTTTCTCTCTCTGTATTGTATAATTACATAATAATCTGAGTTTAATTTTAGTTTTTAAGCATATGTATCAAATTATAACTCTCTATCTTCGCCACATTGTATATTTGTTTTTAAATAATAAAAATAAAAATATAGATGTTTCTGAATAAAAAAAGAAAAACTTTCTACGAAAACTCCCTTCTTGCACCCAGTCCCTAAATTACATTTATGGATTTCAAGTGACTCGTATAATTTTAAAATTTCCCAGATGCAGTTCTCACTCTATGAAGCGAGAAGAAGTATTGCCGATGTATTGTTTATTTATAACTTATTAAATGGTTTTGTTAATTCCCCGGATTTATTGTCGTTAATTGGACTTAACACAACTAATAACTGCTTGGCAAAATAAAATTTGCTTCACATTTTTTTGTGTATAAGTAATTATAATTCCATATCTTTCTTCTTTCATATTTTATCTTTAGGTAACCGTATTGCCAGTCATATAGATTTATTTTATAATTATATGCCTAGGGCTGTTTGTAATGTCTTTATTATATTATTGTTTTTCATAAGTTAAATACTTACGTTTATATATTACTTTTATTCTAGTTATTAAGTAAAATTGTACGCATTTAATATTAACTTAGTAAGGATTTTTACAATAAGTAATATATATATATATATTAATTGTTTTTTCTTTTTTATTGTTTTGCTGATATAGCCTTATTAATTTTATAACATTTTACCTTACCAATCTATTAATTATTATAATTATCATATACATTATTACTTGTTTACTGTTTTTGTCATACGAATAAATAAATAAAATAACTTAGAATAATTTATAGTTTCATCAACATTTCTGACAAATTTAAATAATCATACATGACAAAATTGATACTTTACAATCATAATGCCTAATAATTTGACCAATTATGATTGTTAAACGTCATTAATTTCAATTCTATAGTAAATCAGATATTGGATTAATTATTTTAATAGACTAAATAAATTCGACTAAATAATAATAAATTTACTTTTGACGACGATAAAAAATTAGTAAGCAACCTACAATTTGCCTTGATTTATACATTTTGGAAAAATTTAAAATTCAGAATCAATAAACAAACTTTTAGCTTATTCCCACGAATTATAATATAAAATATAACCATTTAACTTAGTCTGTTTATTATTTTTACTTGATAATATGAAGTATATAGTATATATAATTACAGCAATTTAATTTGCTTTATACACTGGTTATTAATTCAAACATAAGATAATATATCACAAGTTCATCTTCGGTATTGTTATTTGTTAGCTGACCCCATATGAATGATAAGAAGAAGATGAAGAAATAGACCAGACATACTGACCAGACATACTGATCAGACATACTGATCAGACATACTGATCAGGCATACTGACCAAACTAAAGTTCTACAAAATATAAAAATGAATTTGGTTAAACTCTCCGTTTTAATTATTTTTTCGTGTCTATGTCCAACAGAAATATATTCTAAGGACACTGCGTTTGATAAATATAAAAAAGGTATGATAAATATTTTTTTTTTTTTTAATTTTAATAATTATTATAATGTGGCGGTGTTTTGCTTATACATAATTTTAAAAATTCTGTACTGATTAACAATAAAAAAAAACTTGCACTATTAATGACTTTCAGCTGTGTATTATGAGAAAAACGAGAAATGTATTGATTGTATCACGATATGTGAGTATTTTTTTTGCATCTGAGAACCCGATTTCGACTAAAAGGACTGCTTATCCAATGATTACAATCACAGGGAGTTTTTAATAGGAAATGTTATCCATTTGGAACTTTTGTAGTTTAAACCAGGGCTTCAAATCGTAATGATTTTTTGTGATTAATGATTTCAATTCGTCTACTATATATTTCCGTTTTTAAAACTGGTTAATATTAATCTCATATTATATGGTTTTTAAACCCGGTTTTCAAATTAATAAAACCTGTTCAATTTGTTATTTTAAACATATATATTTTTTTATAACAACTTTATACCTCAGACAATTTTTGTCATAATTATGAAATTACTAATTAGAAAAATCAACTGTAATACAATATGAAACAATTTCAACTAGACTAGTTCTTAAATTACTTAGTGTATATTTTCAAGCCAGAAAATGATTCAGCACTAACCTAAAGAATGCAAATAAAAAATATATAAAATATAAATATTAATATAATATATTATAGAGGAAGGCTTGGCATGTTAATGATATTTTTTAACTCAGTTAAGTTAATTGAGATCATGTTCAATTAAGTTAATGCACATGAAAATTACATCAATGAAGTTAAAAATTAAGTTAAAAAATATCATTAACTTAACTTCAGTTAATAAGTTGAGTTAGTTACAAAAAATAATATTTAAATTAAGCGCTGATATAAGTGAGATATATATATATATTTAAGTATATGTACATATTAAAAATTTACAACAGATTTTACTTAAAATTAACGATAATGAAAACGCAGAAATTTCTTATTAAACTCTAATTAGAATAGAAAAATATACATTTCTTTATTGGTATTGTTTTTAAGCACTCGAATGTCAAATTTATGGTAATTTATGTATCGTTTGTTTTTATTCATTTTTCTAAATCACATATGATAAATATAATGTAAACAAAGTATTCTTTTTAATGTTAGTTAATTAATTTTAAATAACAGTATAATGAACTAAAAATAATTACTGCAGCTGAAAATGTAACTATAAAATTATAAAGATAGTAAATATATACAGTTGATACAAAACATTAAAATAAATATATAATATTATTTAGTTTTATTAAAATCCAAGCAAATAAAACAATACAATGGACAGATTAATTAAAATACCTATTGAATCTCAATAAAAAAGTCATCTCAAAATGTTAATCGGCTATTCAATTTCTTCTCTAATTCAATAATATTTAATAATATCAATCTTATTTAATAATATCATAGATTATGGAATAATTTTAATAATAATAGAGTACAATTATTATTAAGAATTATTTAGCCAATGATAATATGTACCTATTTTTGTAATATAGATTTACGGCCACTTTTCATGACAATGGTAATGTAATTCATGAGTGGCATGTCTATTTTCACTCAATAGTCTGAAGACGGTTAATACTTTTCCCGAGAACAGTGGGACCCCTATCAATACCGAGATAAACATTATGGTCTCATCTAAAAATTCTTCGACATTTTTATTTTTATATTTTTTTAAGTTCTATGACTAATTATCGAATGCGATATTTTAAAAAAATATTTTTCTGGTCTTGAAAATCAAAATTAACTTAATTGAGATAAATGTTAATTTAAATAAACGTTAATTTCAAGTTAATTTATAAAAAAATGAGTTAAGTTAATAAGTTAATTTAACTTAACTTTTAACTGAACTTTTAACTTATTAACTCGTTAAAGCCCAGGTTTGATATAGAGTCTATACAATATGTTGTATCCACCTGGTGAAATAGTTAATTTTATAAAAATCAGCCACTCTTAGCACACTTAATGGAACTATGAAAATTACATCAATTTATAATTTTATATACAATATTGAATATATATTATATATAATATATAGGTAACATATATACTTATCTGTATTATAACTTATAATCATATACATCTTAGTTATTTTTATTGCAAAATTTAAAATACAAATTACTTTAGTATAGTCTACAAGCATAGGCGAAACTACGGGTCAGACCAGTCAAGCCATGGCCTGAGCTAATGCTAACGAAAAATATGTATATATTATATATTTTAATAATTATTTGGGCATTATAAATAATATATTATTGATCATACATTATACATTCACTAACTATTAAGTATAAATCACAAATTAAATGTATTGTATAGAATTAATTTATTTCCTTTTGAGAACTAAAATCATTTCTATTTAACAACTTCGATTTTCTTCTATAAAATAACTAATTTTGGTTCCGTTTTTGTTTTTGTTTGTATACATTTTCAGTAAAACTGGTTAGTGATAAAAACGGTTTTAACCGGTTTGAAGCTCGGGTTTTAACTTTCAATTTCATACTTATGGCTTGAAAATGGAATATAAGATTTTTATAACAATTTCTCTACAACTAAGAATACAATTTTTTTCTGGAATATCACAATAAAGTTTATAATAATTAAGAAATTATATTTTGACCAAATCGGGTATTTTAACAAATCTCGATTTTACAAAAGTAAAATGTAATGGTTGTTTGTTTTTTATAAATATTATAAACATTTTAATTAAACATAAAAATTTTATAAATATTAATAACTTGAAACAATTATTGAATACTTATATTAGCATTTTAAATACATTATAAAATTTTAAATAATTATAATGAAATTTGTACTATTTATAAGGATTTGAATTTTTCGATTTTTCCCAAACTTGAAATTGATTATAGTTTGATAATACCCTAGTACAGGGAGGAGCATTATAGCATTTTAATATCCTTTTTTTACTCGCCTTTTATTTTTATTTATTTTTTTTTTTTTTTTTGCAAGAGTTAAGGGAAATTTCGGACATTGTTCATAACTGCACTCAAAAATAGGTCATCGTTCAAAACCACACACTTTTATATCTTAATCCCACATATTTTCGCAAAATTAAACCGTTCAATACCACACAAATTTATAAATATATATATATATATCAATTACTTATATATTTATCTAAAATAACGTGAGTGCGCCTCGAGACTGAGCGGGGTCATTCACTCGCTCGGACAGTTAAAAACGAAAATATCCCCCGATTTGCTATGTAACATCACACCAAGTAGGTCCCAGGATAAAAAAAATATTTTATGTGGGACTCATACGAAACCGGCAACGTGAACTGTACATGCAAAGTGTGCAGAGAGAAAGGGACTGTTAACTAAATATGTGCGGTTTTAAACTACCGACTTTTCAAATTTCTCTTTTTAACAATAGAATAAATATGCGCGGTATTGAACGATATAAAATGTATGGTTATGAACGGTAAGTGTGCGGTTTTGATGACCGACGGGAAACTCGAATTGCCTCCCATAAATCCCTCGAATTGCTTCTCGTAAATAATTTTAAAAAAAAGGTTACTCGAATTACCTCCCATTTGAAAATTTTCCATTGATCGAATCAATACAATCGATATAAACTATCGATTTATACAATAAAACCATCAACCATTATAACAGTTTTTCCCTTTTCACTTAAAATTATAGACATTTTAATAAAAATAAATTATTTAATTACATTATTAACAAAAATGTACCACGGCTTCATTTAGATAGTTCACAAATGTATGCTGACGCGAAAATGCAGATATAGTACCTGGTGTCAATCTGTAGTTTTAAATTGAAAACCAGTAAAAGCAACATTATATCATATATTATATTATACTATATCATTATTGCTATATCATACTCCGCTATTGTCTAGTGACAATTGGTTAAATCAATGTTAGCGATCAGTAAGTACGAAAATGTGACACTTTTATCTCTATTATACTCAAGTTTATATATGTATTATCGTATTCGTATAGGCTGCTAAAATATTATTACAACCGCAAATAACCACACATTTTACTTTTTATAGATCACAAGTTTAGAATTTAGAACAAGTTTTGTCACAGTATCTTCACTATCACTCAAGTTTCAATATCAAAATATCGAAATCAATGTCAATTATATGAATTTTTACAGAAGGCAACGATTCGAGTATGGTAAAATAGGGGGCCCCTATTAGGGGCCCTTTTACTGTTTCCAAAATATCTGAAGGTAATTCGAGTGACAAAAAGTAACCTAACCAATTTTGGGAGGAAATTCGTGTGCACCGAAAGTTAGAACATTTTAAGTTCAACATATCTTATGTTTTAAATATATTTGGTTCTACAACTATATTAACTACATTAGAAATATAAACTGATCTATCAGATATCTTTCACTCAGAATAATTATTTCGAGAGCAAGGGTACATTAGTTTTAACTTTAAAATATTATTTTCTAATTAACTGCAATAATATTGGCCCAATAATCTCAATTATATCAAAATATGATATCATCCTTTCTTTCATTAAGATCAGAAATAAAATTTGATGTAATAGGAAAGATGATTGTACCCCAATCGGAATATAGTTGTATCCTGCCCATGGTGAATGATAATAAGGAGAGAATGCCTGTTCCCTTCAAGATTTTTGGAACGCAAACTGTGATGCAGTATCCAAACATGAACGATTTATTGATAATGGAGAAAGGTGACACCCTTAGACTATTGTGCGCGAAATCTCGATTCTTGCATTTCCATCTAAAGTATTTCGACGAAGTGGAGGTCCGCTGCATGGGAAACAACAATCTGGAACTCGATGGTCTTTATTACTTTTTTGATGAGTTCGAGTGCCAATCGATGCCCAAATCGGATGTGTTTACTACTAATCAAACGTGTCATTCGAACAAACATTTCATGAACATTGTCGGTTTTGCCTCCCATTACGGAGTTATCCCGGTTTATGCATTTTGCTATAACCCCGTTAACAAGGACACTGCTTACACGTGGTACTATGTTAAAGTACCGTACAAGAATTCGAACCAAGAATTCAACATAACAAATCTGCCGTTCATCAATCCCGAAAATTTTTACAACAAAATATCCGTGGATTTATTGTACACCGTCGAATATCAAGTGAGGCATATAATACAATATAATTATGATAGACACGACCTCGACCATTAGAGAACATAGTAGGGTGTCAGTTACAAAATAAAAATCCAATAATTTCTCATGTGCGTATAGATAACTTATTTTATTATTAAAAGTAAAAGCATCTTAAAAATACTACATTTTCATTGATAAACTGCGCAGAACTGTCATCAATAATGTTACAAAATAATAATGACTCATTATTATGTTGTAACATTATTTTAAGCAGCTGAAAAAATCGATATAAGAAATGTTTTTGTTAAACCTATACGTTTTTATAACTTACAAAGTATAGCATACTCGTATTAATATTTTTCCGTCAACAAACATACCAAATCAACATTTTTCATAACTTCACAGTGCCTTAGATAAAAATATAAAATACGAATAATTTACAAAATATACTGCAATTTTATAAGGTTAAAACGAGAAATTAATTTTTTTTTTTTAAATATACGTGTCAACAGTATATTAATAAAAATATAAAATAGAAAAAACTCAGTGTATTGAAATTTAGTATCGGATTCAATTAACTTAGTTCGTAATGAAATCAATAATTTTAAGTGTTAAAGTAAATTCTAAATTATATAATACGTGTAAATTGTATATATGAAATAATAATGATATACTTTTTTTAGAATTACACCTTCAGTGAGTTACTCAAAACGAAGGAATTAGCAGAAAAGTACATAAGACCCGAAAACGGTAGCTATCTGATCCCAGGTCAATTAGCTTCCCCAAGGGATTTTTTCTACATTTTCGAACAGGTTGCAACGTAAGTGCCAACCATCATTGGTAAAACATTGATAAGCGCAAGTATAAATGTTAAATGTTGTATGGTACATTAAAATAATTATTTTACGATACACGTGTACGCGAAATGCTTTATATTTAGGAATAACGAAAAAAAAATTGCGTGTAACAAAAATATATCTAATTAATAAATACGAACGCCTGTCGATACTAAGAATCAATTTTAAAATTATAAACTAAATCGTGAAACGCGCGGATTAACGTATCTGTAACCGTTAGCGATAACAAAACCCTAGACGTCACAGTGCGGGTTTAAAATATTTAAAATATTTGTCGATTTCAAATTTCCGCGCTTTTATATATGAATTATTATTATTATTATTATTGTGCTATCATCATAAATAAAATAAATAAGAAAAATTAAAGTAAATTAAATAATATTTGTATTTCAAGTCATCAAATATGCATCTTAAAAATATCATAGATGAAATAAATAAGAACAGAATAATGCTGTATAATATTGTATATTTATTTTATGATTTACATAATATCAGCATTATTTTACATGACCTCTTAAAATTATACCTACATTATCTTCAAGACTTACTTTGATTGGTAAACATAATCATGACATCAAAACCAGTAGCAGTTACAATTATTAAAATAAATCCAGTTTTCAGAAGTATGTGTTAAAAATATACATTATACATACATATCATTACCTACCCATTAATTTATTTGCTCATTGATATAATTTAATTTTAAATTTTCAATAACTGAATAATTAATGTTTGTAACACTCTTAAATGAGGGTAATGTGATCTTAGGTTTTCTTAAAAAAGTGTCCTAATTGTTTTGATTAATCTGTTGCAATATTGTTCATTTTTGTTAATAAATAATAATGCTTACAAGTTACAATTTCGATATATAATAGTTAGAATTTGGATACAATTATTGTAAAATAATTTAAATACCTATCCTATTTGTTTTTCATTTCATATAGATAATATTAAAATTACTATTACCAGTCCTATTTGGTATAACCATGAATATTATATTATTTTAATCATTATTATTTATAATATTCAGTAATATTACTAACAAGTAATTATACTGTGGTAATTTCTATGTCTTAAAATTTGACATTCAAAATATCATTAAGAATGTCTAAAATAATATTCTAAATATTAAGAATGGTAATAATAAATATCAGCAATTATATATATTTAATTATATATTTTACACACCTCACTGGATTATTTAATTGCCCTGAACAATCTAATTAGTGGCACTTTTTTCTTTGAATAAAGCAAAAAATATGTCAACATCATCTTCAGTATTTAAATTACAACGTATCACTTTGACATCATTCTTAATAATATCTACTAATTCACAACGGAATTTGCTATTACTTATATTTATTTCATCTATTATTCATCATGATATTTTTAAGATTCATATTTGATGACTTGATGTACAAATGTTATTAAAAAAAAGAAAAAAAGTAAGTAATATTTTTTCTCGATGTAATTATTAAGTGATAATCAATAATAACAATGATAACATGATGATTAAGTGATAATTATCACATAATTAAATGTAATGATAATATAATTAAAATATAGATAATCAATAATATTTCATATATAAAAACGCGGCAGTTGTAAATCGACCAATAAGAGCGTCGTATTTTAAATCAGCACTGTGACGTTTAGGGTTTCTTATATTGCTAACCATTATTCATACCGATATCGGAACGTGATCAAACGCCATAGCAGGGGCGTCATTTCAACTTTTCAAAGGGTGGGGCAACTGATTAAATTTACAGACTTCATAATATTTAAAAAATTATGGTTATCTATATATTTAAACACTTAATATTTACTGACGATAGACTATCAATAAAATATTTTTTCGGAACAAAACATGTAAGGATTAGTAATGAATAATGATGCCATGATGATAAACAAAGAACATGAAACATTTCAATTTACCCAGTTAAATAATAACATTAAAGATAGTAAAACATTAATTTATTTACTTATCTTATAGGCCAGGGGTCGGCAACTCGGCAAAAGTCGGGACCAGGAAGACAATACTCTGGACCCTGTATCTTTTATTTTCATACTCTTAATATTGTAAATTTAATATAAATTAATTGTAATAACCAAATAATTATTTTTATTTTTATACTGCTATTTTTAAAATATAAAGTTTTGAAAAAAAAATTTTTCACAGGACCTCATTGATTTATTATTTTAATCTTTATGACTCCAATGTAAATTACTTACCGACCCTTGCTATAGGCTGTATAAGTTACTTTTTTTTTTTTTTAATTTGCTATTGTTGGGGATATTACAGCAATACAATTATGTGGTGAAAGATACAAATGTATAAAAAACATACAAATCAAATTTAAAAGCGAGCAGAAATTATAAAATTAATGATGGAATTGATGACATGGATAGAGCGAGAGTTAAGGAAAAGATTTGAATCGGATGTGAGATAACCCAAAGGGGATAGAAATGAAAAATGGAGATGTCTATTATGAGAGAGAGAGGAGGGGTTATAAGTTACCTATCAATAGGTTTAATTTAATAATAATATAAATCTAATTAAATAAATACTTATAATTTTATTATTTGTATATTTATTACTGTACAAAACTTATTTATAAAAACATAAAATTGTATCTCAAATATAATTTACCGTAGTTTGGAGTGAATAGGAACGATTTTAACGATTTTTTATAGATTATGAGCTCAATTTTTATGGTATCGATATCACGAAAACTGTTTAATAATGATCACATATATAGAAATATATAATATATCAAAAATAAAATTTATAATGTTCGCGTATAACGATTGTCATAAACTTGGGAGGAACCATTGTTTCCCAATTTTTAATAAATCATGAACGTGTATTTAAAAGAGAATATTATCTGATTTCTGAGTACAAAATAGTAAATAAAAATTTATTATTCACCAATTTCAGCATTTGATCATCGGACAAAGAATTGCCGACTATTTAAAATTTCTTAGAGTAGGGCATTTGTCATATTCTGCCCCCCCCCCTCTCAAATGACGCCCTTAGCCAAATGCATATTTTTTATAAATAAATAACGTTCACAGTGTAGCCCTTCAATGTTTCTGATTACGGTGGTAATGAATAAATTTGCCTAAAAAAAAAAATTAAAAAAAACTGTCGACAGTAACTTTTCACTTCCGTGCGCGCGTATTGATCGTAGTCAAACGAAATAACGATAACATGTGGGCGCTGTTGGTTTGGTCGCAGGTTTTACTTCATGAACACGGCACCCCGATGGAAAAAGTTCAACGACGACCATTGGACCGTTCTGGAGGAATCAGTGCGGTATTGGATGAGTGAGAACGATCACCGGTACATGATCGTGTCCGGCACGTACGGCTGGCTCTCGCTGACCACCGCGAACGCGGACCGGCGCCGTATATTCATGGACGAATCGGAACAGATACCGGTGCCGGAGGTCTTCTGGAAACTGATGTACGACATCGATCGAATGGATGGAATAGTGTTCATGGGCACGAACAGCCCGCACGAGGAAGAAGAATCAAAGAATTCGTTCTTGTGCGAGAACATATGCAAGAACCGTCGCGGGAACAATAATATGTCACCCGAGTTGTTCTATGCCCCGGATTCGATCTATTGCTGCGATTTGAGTGGGTTCCAGTTGATGTACGGTGAATTGCAGCCAGTCAAGGTTGTGAAATACTTAAGGGAACAAATAGAAGCGAGGCAAAAGGTGGAGAAAACGCCGGTTATCATAACGAAATCCACCAATTTACTGAAGGAAAAGAAACACACCGAGTCGCTAAGGATAGAGGATTACCTCTATTCGTCGGAGGAAAAAAAACACACCAAGTCGCCGGAGGAAAAAAAACACACCAAGTCGCCGGAGGAAGGCGAATCGACGGAGGGTTGTACGAATTTGAATATTTATTGAATATTCGATCGTTCGTCTTGAATAAGTGGAAAACGATACTAGATCGTGCTCCGTCGTCCGTGAACAAACGGACCCCACGCGCCCGACACGTCGTGCATAGTTACTCATTTGTTTAATATACTCGGTTTATAGCTGCCGGTACAATACATACTAAATTATTCATCATCGTTCGGCGTTTTCTTATTTCACTAAAACCCATATCCGTCCGGTACACAACGCCGACCGTCGGTGGCCGTTGTCAATCTGAGCGGCAACGAACATCGATGTGCCTTTTTTTTTTTACTGCGAACACACGTCTAACTTACACCTTTAACGTAAAGGTTTTAGGCGGTTTTTTATCTACGTTTAACCGGATCGGAGATATTGAAAGGTACCTTTATCGATCAGTATCTGGAACCCGGTAAAAAGTTAATCTAACAATATTTTATCTAAATCAACACTGTGATCAAACATTATTTTTTCGTTTCCAATCGTCGATACCAGTCATACCCGTTACAGGTGCACACAACCGAGGTTATTTTCAGGGTTTAATCGAGTTCATAAAATTACACAACGACGACAGCAGTACGCGGTATTGTCGTTCGCTCACTTGTGTTTTTCGTCTTTCGACATTCTTAAATCTACGGTTTCGTGTTGAGAACGGACCACAGCCAGATCGTGTTCGATCCGTTCGAATGCGCTGCAACGTAAATGAATACCGGTGGAAATCGTTTAAAACGAACACATCCGCGTGTCTCACTTGATCGATTATTAGAGCGCACATCGTTTGTGTACATACATATACTCGATTGACAGACAAAACGCAAATTAATATTCGAAATAGAGCGATGGGATTGCCTTCCATCGCGAGCCACGTATTTTAGGTATTTCTTGTCGCGCGTCTGCGCGTCTGCGGAAAACGTGATTCGCGCAGGTATCCAACAGACTATTCCGCGAAAACAATTTCGTGGAAGATATGTTACGTATCCGGAACGTTCAACGCACTCGCACAGGAACGGTGAATATGAAATGTGTTTTAAATATCCGTGAGCCGTGCAAGGTGGTTACAATACGAATGTAGGATTTAAACAACGATTTATGTTTTGCGAGGACCGTGGTATACGTCTCAGTTTCTGGTCGTGCTGAGAATACGCGCCCAGCTCTTTTGGGGGATATCCACTTTACCATAAAAGCTGAACGGAAAAAAGGTCGCTTTCCAACGCTTCAACCGCGCTCAAAAACCAAACTTTCGGTGCAGGCGTGTCAAAAAAATATTTTCATCCATAAATTTAAATATAAGTAACTAGATGAATTACCTGGCTTCGCACGTGCTGCACAATACCGTCGTATTGGCGGTGAATTATTATTATTAATTAATCCACCAAATTGCACAAAACTATTCAAAATATTTTCTTGTTGTACATTAAGAGTATTAGAAGAACCACTATTCCAAATTTCAAATTCGTACATTAAATAGTTATTGAGAAATAGCGATTAGTAGTGAGTGAGTGATATTTGATTAAGTAAATAATTGTAAGCATTCGATGTGTATATTTCACTGAAAAAAACTTCTTTTCCAAAGAACACTTGAGCCACCAAAAACGATACTAATTGAATTTTTTACATTGGGTAAGAAACCTGATGTTTTCGATCAATTTTCACAAACATTATTATATGCGGATGTTCCACGCTAAACCAATTTCACATGGTCATCAAAAACATCACCGGAAATTATCTTAAAGCAACCATTTTGAGTTGAAAGTTCAAAGAAGAAATCGTTTTATTGCCCCGTACTCGATTAATACCGTTAGAATCTCCAATAAAATTCCAAATACATAAATTTCCTATTCGTTTGACTATCCCGATGAATAAGTTTCAATACCAAAAAATGTCCATTTATGGCTTGGGCTTTACAAATCCATGCTTTTCCTATGAACAATCTAACCGTTGAATCTATTTGTGTTAGCAAGAGATAGGTTAACCGAAAATATTGTGTACCGATTAGTACTTAGTAAAGTTTAAAACATATTTACAAATTGCATACATTTTTGTACTTAAAAATAATAAACACAATTATAAAAAATAATTAAAAACTAACCCAATCGAAGCATGGGCAAATTAGATAACATATTAATTGATTTATAAGGTTATTATATAGTAAAAACTTTAAATATTGACCAATTTATAATTTGATATTGAGTCTATGATATCGGGACCATAACATAATAATTATATATGTAAAAAATAAAATTGTCAATTGACATTTAAAATTACTGACGATTAAAAGTATTATTAATGGTACAATATTTTATAATTAATAATGATGCAAAACTAACAATAACATCTATAATTAAATTTGTAATTATTTTAATAATAATAATTGAGTTCAACATTAATTTTTGCTTTTTCTAAATTAAATTCTTAATAGTTTTAATTTACTTATTTTGATCAAGTGCTACATAGTAGTAGTATCTTAATTACTAATAAAAAATAATAATAATAGTAATAATATTTACAAATGATTCTATAGTTATAATTATATTTTGTATAATTTAACTTTATTTATGAATATTTACAAATAATTCTATAATGAGTTACTCATTTCTAAAATTATTTAAATCAAAACCTCTAGGTATACCACATTCAGAGTTTTATTTTGTGGTGTAAAAACGTATAATTGGTCAGGTCTTCCAACTCTAAAAAATGCTACATATACGAGTAATTGTCCAGGTGAGATACAGCTATTTTCCACATCTACACCACAAAAAAGTTTATCCTTACGCTTTGTTTATTGTCATTGCAAAACAAACTTTTACTAGAAACTAAACTGGAAAATCTTTGAGGTATAATGGTAATTTAAAATTTAAGTAAAAATATTTTTTCTCCCTTACACATCAAATCAAAATGTTTGCTTAAATTATTAATTAATTACATTTTTTGTAAAAAAGGTAACCCGAAGCCTAGACTTATAACATAACATCGGAGAATTCAAAATTCTCATAATATGATTAGAACTCCCACCTTCAGTGATATTTTATGGGGTGACACACCAACATCTTTGTGAATTTAAAAACTTCGTAGGAAAATGTACCGATTTTTCACTATCAACAACTGTGTATCGATATAAAAGTAATCTATCACGATTATAACTGAAATGAGGAATAAAATAAAATTGTGAATAATATATCCACTCATAGGAATATTTGGAACAACACTGTGAAAAAAAATTGGAAAAATGTTAAATAGTCTGGTCACAAAACGGGAACATAAAAAGAGCCTGTTCTTTTATATATATATATATCTTCTTCTGTATATATAAAACAGTAAGCTAATTGACTGCTATCAACGCACAGCTCAAACCATTGGACGGATCTGGCTGAAATTTGGCATACAGATAGCTATTATGATGTAGACGTGCGCTAAAAAAGGATTTTTCGAAATTTTGAATTTAAAGGGTTGAAATTGGTTTAATATTTTTTGACCAGGTCGATAACTGCGCTATTGAAAATGAATTATATTAAATAAAACTATTAAAAAAATATTAAAAAACTATTAAAAACTATTTGAAAACTATTAATTTTATTTTTGGTAGTAAATGACGGGTGTTGCATAAATATTAAACAAAAAGATCCCGCAACAGGTGCCAAAACAAATAAGAATGTTAGTTCAAAAAATTATTATGCAAATCGGTTGATGATTAGACGCGATCAGGACTAAGTTATTTTACGATGCATAAGCTTTGTCAACAATTCATGGTCGAAATATATATAAAGATAGATAGCGAACGATTTCGATACTTCGATTTCGATTCAATCAAAAAAAGCTGCGTGCAAAAGATTCTCAAAACAATTGTTAGATATTGGAGATGGGAAAGTTACTACAGATGAAACGGGATGTATAAAATAACCGAACGATTTCTGCACAATCATTTATTCGCAAGATGCTCTCATTGACCAGATATGTCCCAGTATACACAGACAATACACAAATCATGAGTTGCTGGCAGAAAGAGCAATTTTAGTAGCAATAAATGTGGAGGTCAACGAATTGAATTTCAAGATACAAAATTTGTTACCAGAAAACTTGGTGTCATACAAATCTAGATACAGTTTGCGATGCTACTGAAGTTGTAAATTATCCAACAGAGTTTTTAAACTCATTGGATTTACTAGACATGCCACCGCATAATTTACAGTTGATCATTACAATTTACCATCGATAAAATACCTCCTTCAGAGTCATTTAAAGTTGTAATACATGCAGATAAAAAACCACCAGAAGAACATAGAGGCAGGTATAATGCACCAACGGCAAATGAAGTTGCTTTAGTGTTAGTAGATCAGCAGTTTGATCAAAGAGACATCATCCTCGAAAACCGAAGTAACTAACTTCACCGTATCAGTGAGATACATCGAGCATACGACGCACTGCAGTATCCTTTAATGTTTTGTTGGGGGATGATGGGTATGCGATCAATATACCACAACGCGATCCAAAAACCAAGTTACCGCTTAAAAAAACTGTCTCTGTATCAAGTTTTTACTCATATAGAATAATGATCAGAGAAGGGGAAGACAACTATTTAGTTAATTATCGTTCTCTTTTCAGTCAATATTTGGTAAATGAATACGCCAAAATTGAAACTGAAAGACTAAATTACATCAAAAACAACCAAGCCAAATTGCGTGCAGATAGTTATATTCATTTAAAAGATGCGATTGGACGACGAGACATAGAAGCTAATCAGTTAGGCCAAATGGTTATACTCCCGTCAACTTTTACTGGTGGGCCAAGGTACATGCACGAAAGAACACAAGATGCTATGACCTACGTTAGACATTACGGTCGTCCTGACCTTTTTATTACTTTTACATGTAATCCTCGCTGGGACGAGATAAAAGAGCTCTTACTTCCCGGTCAAAGATCATATGATCGACATGATATAATTGCAAGAGTGGTTAAAAGTCAAAAAGACCATGAACTTATTGACAAAAGGTAAAATATTCGGAGAAGTGAGATGCTATATGTATTCAACAGAATACCAAACTGTAGAGAGGTTCAGGTAGTTGTAAGCTATAACTTATCGAATAGGTTATGATAATAACTAAATTAATATGTATAAAATATTATTTCAAAAATCTTAATTAATTTAAATTTCAATAGATTTAACAAAATTTTATCTTGGCAG